GAGAGAGAATGGCCCTAATGCCCTGAATCTTCTAGATTTGGGTCCTATGTAGGAAACAGGGCTTCTGCTCTTGAAAAAGTCGCTTCATGCATCTATAAGGTTACAATGGGTGGTGTGTGCCAGAGGGATGGGGAGGGCAGGTCAGAGAGAGGCCCGGGGGCCTGAGTTCTGAGTTTGGGGCATCTGGTGGGAGGTGGAGGGATGCAGGGCTTGTTCTGGGCCCTGAAGGATGCCTTTATTGGGGATTGATTAAGTCCCAACTGGGGAGAGTTGTCGAGCTGAGAGGAGGATGGACATAGCAGTCACCATGGGAAACGGGGATGATTGGTTAGTTGGGTCTCAAACGCCCGACAGAGCAGTGTGGCCTGGGCTCACAGGCTCCAAGTAGATCCTGAGATGTGCAGACGCAGTTCTGCCTACTTGGGGGGGAACACTTTTCCCTTTACTGTGACACAGGGAAAATGAACACAGTCTGGCCTGAGGGTGTCTCCACACTGTGTGACCCACCCTCAGGTGCAGGGGTGTGTGCCTCTACTGTGTGAATGTGTCAGCGTCTGTAGTACATTGCTGAGTGACTGTATCTGGGCAGTGCTTTTCTGGGCTGTGAGTGGGTGGATGGAGAGTCTGTTTTATGGGTCTGTGTGCGTGTGCCTGAGTTGTACATCTTAGTGTGTGTAGGGGTGGGGGTCCCAGTTGTGTTGTTTGTATTTGTGTGGGGTCTCAGCTGTGTTTTTGTCTCTACCTGGTGTCTGACTTGTTAGTGAGAGACTGGGTAAGGGACAGGGTTCCCCTTGCTGCTGGCACTGGGTCACCGTGATGGGTACAAGGCCAGTCAGCTGTAGTCGTAGCCTGGAGGACTTAGAGAAAGGCCTGAATGATGACTCCTAGACAGTTATCCCCAAGTGAATGGCTTCTTCTTGAGCAATAATTAACTTGGGCCCTGTGAAAAGAATCCAAACTGTTGTGGTGAAGGGGGTGGGACTGGTCAGGGCAGGACTTACTGCCGGTGAAAGGAGGAGGCCGGAAAATCCTGAACGCATGTGTGTTGTTACCACTCCTTCCTGCCCACCCTTCAGGTCACTCACCCTGACCTGAGACTGGGTAAAAATATTGAACAAACATTGAGACACAGACATTGACCAATCAGAACAGACACAAGTCATACTCTGAATGGAGGAGTCAGGGAGGTCATGGCTATGCCAAGAGTTGCCTCTCTAGGCCAGGTGTGATGGCTCATGCCTGTAATCCCAGCACTTTGGGAGGCCAAGGCAGGCAGATCACGAGGCCGGGAGATCGAGACCATACTGGCTAACACAGTGAAATCCCATCTCTACTAAAAATACAAAAAATTAGCCAGGCATGATGGAGTGCACCTGTAGTCCCAGCTACTCCGGAGGCTGGGGTAGGGGAATTGCTTGAACCAGGTGGGTGGAGGTTGCAGTGAGTCGAGATTGTGCCACTGCACTCTAGCCTGGGCGACAGAGCAAGACTTGGTCTTAAAAAAAAAAAAAAAAAGGAGTTGCCTCTCTAGTTGCTAGACAGTGTAGACAGTGGGAATG